AAAAAAAAAAAAAAAAAAAAAAAGGACAAATATACAAGTTTTAATACCACCAAAAATCTTCTACAGTGTCAAAACTAGCCACTTCATGGACATTATCTTCCCAATTTTTATTTTTATTTTCATAAAACCATAAAGTCCATTTATTTTCCAATGGATGTCTAACAACTAATTCAGTAGATGCAGCTTCTTCATTTGATTGTTGATTTTCCTCTTTTGATAACTCATTAGATTTATGTGCTGGTTCACCCTTAAAAAAAATAAATTAATAAAATTTCCATTTGACAATCTTAAAAATAGTTAAATTTGTGGGCCTTCAATAATTTTGTTTACTTTTTGTTATTATAATGGAAACATAGGTATGTATTATACAGATCTAACTGACAACTTTAATAACTTTTGACCCAATAATCAATTTAGCATGATTTTTTTATAACAATTTTTGCATTTTTAGACAACTTTAAAACATTTTTTTATTATTTCTCTTATAAAAAAAAACTTTTATTCAACATGTAAAAATACACACTTCCGTTTTGATTCTGTATCACAATTTCTAAAAAATTATCATTTATAAATATTATACATTTACTTTATTTTAAATAAAATCATCGATCAATAAAATTATACTGGTCAAAATAAATTTTGTTTTTAATATTTATTTTAATTATAAAATTTCATTGTTAATTTCAAATCTAGATTTAAATATTCTCCATATTTTTTTTTTTTTTTGAGCTAATTACTAATTAATAAACAAAATACAATAAAGTAACAATATATTTTTTTTAGTTTATCAAATTTATTTTAATCTTAGAAAAAAATTGTACAAAATTTGAGAATGTCATGTTAAATTTGATTTTTAGGCTAACAAAAAATGAGTTTGACTGACATTAAAATATATGTATTTTGTGGCAAACTTTTTAGTATAGCTTCATTTATCTTGCAACTATAAAACTACAAGAAAATTTTTTTAAAAATCATATAGATTATTGAAATAATAACTTTTTACTTGTTATATACTAAATAACTATATTTAACACTATTAATACAAATAAATCATAAAAATATGTAACAATTCCTTTATTTTAAATACTTTTCTAACTAGGGTCACAATGTAGGATAATCTGAAAAAATTTTGGTAGGCCTCTCTAATATGGAGTAAGTAAGTTAATTATTCTTACGACATTTCTCTGTTTAATACTATTACCATGTACTGATTGTCATTATATTTTTCATATCTATCCTTTTATAGTAGATTAATTCTTTAAATAAAATTATTTCAAAGAAATTGATTATTATCATGTTTTTTTATACTAAAAACATTAGTCGAACAAAATGAGAATATTCTTAAAACATGTTAATAAAAAAAAATAACTATTAAAACAATTTAAGCAATAATTAAAATTGGTCTATCATATTTTTGTTAGAGTAATAAAATTATTATTTTTTAATATAGCAGATTGTTAATACATAACAATGCACTGTATTAGAGAAACGTGCTTTAAAATTTATACTAAATAACTAAATAAATCATTCAAAAAAATAATAAAAAGGGTTTGTATGTTTTAAAATTTAGATTGTTACAAGTATTATCTTATATCTATTGTAAAGTAGTTATTTATCATCTGTTATTTATTAATATTGGGATCGTCCCGTTCTAATTATAAAATTAATAAATAAATAATACAAAGTTCCTACAGTACAGTTATGATATTTGTAAATAAATAAAGTAATTAACTAATTAGATTTTTAGTTAATCTTTGAATCATTAAAAAGTAAAGTGATAAATTCAACAATGGCAATGAAAAAAACACATAACTTCAATGATAAAGTTATCATAGCCTTAAAAAAGCTATTATTTATTTAAAATAGTTCTCAACATGCTACATACAAGGATTGTACAATTGTAAAAAATGTACATAATCTTACCTCGACCATTTTGTGTATACTTTTTCACTTTCTAGCTTGAATATTTAAAAAAATTTAGTCTATAAGTTATTTCATAAATTAATTTTAAGTTGCAGTTCTTATAAAACTTATACAGCGTTAAGATATTAGGAAAAAGTTTATTTTGGAACAATATAAAACACATTGACAATTCTACATGAAATATTTGTCAATGATAACAAAACGTTCACAGTAGTTACACATTTTAAATATTTCATTATAAATTTAATTAAATCTAAAAATGGAAGCACTGGGAAATATACAAATATTATCCAATTTTTAGCACCCTTATCTATAATTTAAACCATGGTTTAAGTAAATGATTGACTTACAACCATGAACGTGCATTACCAGTAAATAGTAAAAATACAAAGTTTATTAAGACTAATACAAAAAATTACACTTGATTTTTATTGGAAAGGTGAAGTGACATATTAGTGTATTATCCATTTTCACATTCATACAATTTAGTTGGTTAATAATATGAATACCGTTACTGAGTACCATAAATAATATCTGGTTTTGAGCAGTTAGCGTCTTTCATAGATTGATAAAGTTGTGTTATTGTTATTAATAGTATGGCATCATTTTTGGCTGATATGAAGTTAACTTGTCTGTGTTGATGACTTTAAACTATTAAATTAAAAATAAAATTAGTAAAATTATTGTTACAGTAATATTATTTTTTAATGTTGACTAGTTCAAACGTAAATTTGAGATGTTTAATTAGATCATGTTTTAATTGTGTCAAAGTTTATTTCATTTGTAATTATTGTCTAGCTGAAGAAAATCATGGATGAGGATATTAATAGTACAAATGAATCATCTGAAAAACGAAGAGTTGACGAGGACACGATAAACTCTAAGCCCAATACCAAAAGAATTAAATTGGTGCGTCCTGTTTTTTCAGCTTTATCCAAACCTGTTGTTTCTACATCATACGAGGCAATTAAATCTTCTGCCGATTCCTCTGAATCATCAAATTCTTACCCATCAATACTTAAACCCGAGGTTGAGTCCTCTAAAGTTAGTGATATATATCCTGTTGTATCCAATCCTGAAAGAACTACTTGTTCTATTAACTCTAGCACAATTGAAGATCAACAAAATGAGTGCAATAAAGAAATTCCAGACTTAAAAGTTCCATTCAGTGAAAATACAATAAAACAACTGGAACAAATAAAAAAAAGTATCTTTAAAATTGAAGATGATGGTTCATCTTCAGAAAATGATAGTCAACCTAAACGTCCAAGATTAAAACGACCAACATTTGGTCTTACAAATAATGAAAAAAAGGAAACTAATGATTATATTAATGAGAGTAATACTGAAATTGATTCTAAACCTACAACTGACATAGAAAATGAAGAACTCCCTTTTGAAAATAATTCAATTGATTGCCATAAAAAAGAACCATCACATTTAATTGAAGATATCAATATCAATGAAATATCAAATTATGACTGTCTAAAAATTAAACTCAATAATGAAGAAGTTATTGAAGAAATCAAGTCTAGCGAATCCAACATCGATTCTAGTTACACCATTAATGTATTAGTAAATAAAGATGTTGAAAGTAAAATTTTGGAAAAAGAAATAGTAGACAATGATAGTATACAAAAATCTAATGAATTAATTGTAAATAGTTCTGATATGAGTGAAATTCAACCTAATGCACCAAAAAAAGTCGCTGAAATAGTTGATGTCATTGATAAAAATAATATTTTACTTGAGGCTAGCAACAATATTGTAGAAAAAACTGTAGATTATAATCTTATAAATATTAAAGAACCAGAAAATGAAGTGTTTGATAGTGAATTTACTAATGCTAGTAGTGATGATAAGTGTATTACAATAAATGACGTAGAAAAGATTTCTTTTGAAAAATCAAACAATAAAACAAATCTGAATTATGATGATGAAAAAATTGTAATATCTACTGCAATTCCAAAAGTTGAAATGAATACATCGTATATTTCTAAAAGTGTTATTGGAGTTAATCTTTCCATTAAAACTTCTCCAATAAAAAATGAGAATGAAAATGATAACTATATATCTTTAGAAAAAGAACAAAGTGATGTTGAACAAAATTGTGAAGGATCTGAATCACAGCTTCCACAGTTATTTAAGAAATCTGATATACTTAAGGCTGCTCTTACATCAAAAAAGATATTGGAGCCAATTCAGAAAGTCACTCAATTGAACAATCAAACTTCTCAACAAAAATTAGTATCAATTGATAATATTAAAGATGATTCATTCCCCATAAATACTGAAGACATTATTGTTAACGAAATTGATACTAATATTAAAGTAGAGACTTCTATGAATTTAATTAGTTCCCAAACTTTGCCAGAACCAAAAAATTGTAACACTACTACTGAAACTACTAAGAGTGATGAAAAATCTAGTTTATCAAATGATGAAACTAACATTACTGACCTTCCAAAATGGGGGTCAGAAAAAATGAATGAAGTAGAAAAATTTTTAAATGATTCAAATGTTACTATTACACCAATTTCAACACAATCAGAAACACCAAAGTTAAATAAAATAACATTAAAACTACCAAAAGTTGGAAATCCAGAAATCAAGACTGAGAATACTAATCGTCCTGATGTAAAATCAGAGTTATTAAAAAAAATTAGTAGTAAACAACATGCTATAGTGGATAGCCCTTTAAAAAGTGCCCTTTCTCAACCATCAAAATGTTTTAGTGACTTTGCTACTATTGTACCTGCTCATAGTCCTAGTGCAGAACAAATTGCTTTGTTAGAACAACAGATTCTGAATACTCCAAAAAAAAGAGGAAGACCATCAAAAGCTTTAACACAGCAAAAACAACTTTTATTGCAGTATCAACAGCAGCAACAGCAACAACCCAATTTATCAGAAAAAAATGAAACTGATAATGAAAATGTTTTTCATGTACCTTTATTTGATATGGACTCAATGAGCAGTGGTAATATATACAATCCATTTGAAGCATCAACTCCAAAACGAGGAAAGAGTAATAGAGGTAGGGGACGAGGCAGAGGACGTGGAGGACGTACTCAAGGAAGAGAACAATTAGATAATGATAATCAAGGAAGTATTCTGCAAATTAAAATTGAAGGAAATGCTTTTAATGATGAAATGAATCAAGAAGAAGAAACCAAGCACGTTGCTATGATGGAAGCAGAACGCATTCGTAAGGAAGAAGAACGTGAAAGAAAAATTGAGGAAAGAAAAAGAAAATTAAAAGAACGTAATGATGCTATAAAAGAAAAGAAGCTAAGAAAAAAACAAAAAGCTGAAGAGAGAAGACTTCAGTGGCATGAAAAAAAAAGATTATTACAAGAAGAAAAAGCAAGACAAGCTGAAATGAGAAAATCACTTCCTCCTCCACTAAATTTTGATGATGAAACTCGTATGAGTGCTGATATCAACTTATCTCAGACATCAGCTAGAAATTTTATGATAGGTATGATATAATTATTTTATCTTTTAAGTAGAATTATAAAAAAATTTAGTAATATTTTTGTTAAACTTTACTAAGCCAAAATTATTTTGTAAGTAAGATTATGGAATGCAAATTTTACATACTTTTCTAAACGTATCTTAATTAATTTTTATTTAAGAAGTTGGAAGTATATTACAGGTTATCATAGCTTAATATAAAATATTTTTTTCTTAGATTAAAAACGTGGTTATATTAGAATCGATTATGTTTATTTAACAAAGGTTTTACACTTAAAAATCAAATCCAACATCTAAATTTGTAAATTGATTTTTAAACTTATTCGCAGCTTTTTTGTTTATGTTAACCAAATTTGAACAGTCTGATTCTGATCTAGTTGACTCATTGATATAAATAGTTATTTTATTTAGAGTATACAGAGTGATTCTTTTATTATGTACCACTTGATTAATCGAATATTATAAATGTAGTATTGAGAATTTTTTTAATGGTTTTTTTTAGATACATATTTTCCTAAATTTATTATTCATGAAGTATTTTTTATGTTAATGCCTTATACCTTATAAGGGTGTCAACTTTATTTTTTTAATGGAAATATATGTAATTAACTAGATTAATTATTAGATAATGATCTAATTAAGATATTAATTGGTCGATAATAATTTTTGGACCAATATTCCAAAAGTTATTAACATTAACATTTTTATACCAATGCAGTAGGAGATGTATGGCTGATAAATGTTTAGTGATAAAAATAGCATCCAATCCTTACCTTCAGGTATTATTTAAACATAATAATAATTTCTGAAATATTGGTCCAAAAGTTTTTATAGACCAGTCATTATCTAAATTAGATCATTATCTAATAATTAAGCTAGTTAATTATATTTTTAACTGTTTTAAAAAGTAATGTTGACACCCTTTATAAAGTATAAAAATGAACATGAAAAATACTTCATGAATGATAAATTTAAAAAAATATGCATCTAATAGAAATCATTGAAACAATTCTTTATACTATTTTTATTTTTTGATTAATTAAATAGTGAATTATGATAAAAAAAAACACTCTGTATACTTTTTAAATTTTATTTTACATTGTGATAGGAATTTTTTTATTTTAATTTTGGTATAACATTAATTTTAAATGTCAACATAATGTACTAATTTTGAAAGTAAACTTAATGTCACATTTTTAAAAATAAATTTTGACTCTTCTATTTTTAATTATGTTTTTTAAAAACAAAACTTAAGTGTTTTAAATGTTGCCTTAAGCTTTCAATTTGATTTATTTTTTAATGATTCTTTTACTCATTTTGCATTGTAATATACTGTGATTATATTTAAAATTAAAAAATATTAAGTATATGCATAAAGGTAATTAAAGAAGACGGTTATATGTTATTTATACTTAAATATATAAATGTATATATTTAACATAGTTCATAAGTATGTTCATTAAAAATAATTTACACAAAAAAAAAAAAAAAAATCATATTATACACTAAAATAATAAAATAATTTATATTGTATATTTAATTCTTTAAATTTATACTAAGAAAATTGTTTTAATTATATCTGAATAATTTTTTTACAGGAGATGATGATTTATCAATTAGTGGAGCTACCAATGATAGTAGTCGGCTAAAAAAAGGAAGAATGGAAGTAATTGATTTAGAAAGGTAAAAATTTAAGTGTTTATGTTATGTTATCCATGAAAACTTAAAAATTGTTGTTTAAAATTTTCATATCATAGCAATAAAACATTGACTGTTGATCAAATTGCTGAGTACCAATGGCCTTTAGAAGGTGGAGAATTGTATATGATTCAAGAACAGATATCTAATTATTTAGGTGTAAAATCATTTAAAAGAAAATATCCTGGATTAAAACGTAGAAATGTTGAAGCTGAAGAAAGGTCATTTTTATGTGATAGTGGTTTAGTTGCTGAATCACTGTGTGATTTAGGTAAGTTATAATAATTTAAATTAAGTTCTTGGTGTGAAACAATGGATTATGCCATATTAGCACTATGTTTAGCTGCACTATTTGCTGTTGGTTCATGGATGCGTGAACATACAGAAGTTTTAAAAATGACAAATACCTTGTTCAAGTACTGGCTTTCTTAACTGTAATAAGATTACATTAGGTGGATAGGGTTAGGTTTGGGTGATGTAAAAATCTTGTCTAATCATTCAGGTTGAGCCAACCCCAAATAGTTATGATAGAGGCTACAAGGAGATGAAGATGCAATTCTTATGACATTATTAAAATTAACTTTATTTTCATCACTTTTTTATTTTAGGTTTGACAGTTTTATACAGTTCTGAAGTGTTGGACATTATGTATGTTGATTTTCCTGAAAAATATGAAGAATTACGAGAGTATATGAGGCTCAAACATGCCAAAGAATTATCTAATCGACACAAAGGTATTTTAAAATATTTTTTATTATTAAATAATTCTGTATTCTATGTTACTTTTTTTTTTAATTGTAATATATATATATTGAAATATACTACTTATGGCTGTATTTTTACAGTTTTAGTTAACTTTTTTAATTAACCTTAATTATTTTTACTAATTCATAATCCCATTAGACTAGTGTTAAACCAAATTTTATTGATGTATACAGTTATTTTATTTCTAAGTAGATGTTATTATTAATTTAATTTATAAACTAACACTATGATATTTTAAAAAGTTTTATTATAAAATTATCCTTTTTAAATTTAGCTCTTATTACTTTTAATACTGCTGATGGATCTAAATTGGATCTACGTGATAGAGCAATGGAAGCTGCAGCGAACTGGAATGCAAATTTAAATAAATCTAGATTAGAGTCTAGGAAATGTACCATGGATATGCAAACATTTATAGTTCATTATCCAAAAAGTAAATGCAAGAAGATGATACTTTCTAAACAGAAAATTGGTCATTACCCTGTAGCTTTGTTGCCTGGACAATTTTGTGATTACTATGCTACGTAAGACTGAATTTTAATTAAAAAAATTAATTGTGTTTATATATTTGATGCTGATGCTATACATGCGATGTTAATGTTGTAGTTATTCTAATGAAGAGTTACGATATTTACCTATTAATACAGTTATGTATGGTCCATTGAAAACTGTAGACAAAGATTTTCCTATCTCGTTAAGCAGTCAATCAGAATCTGATGATAGCTCATCAGAAGATTCTAGGTAACTAAGTTTTTTCAAGAAATTTTTTTACATTTTAATCAAATTGTGAAGACCTATTAAATTGCATGAATATCTACATGATTTCTTTATCATGTAAATAAATTAGATAACAGGATATAGGTGGTGTAGGAATAATAATGGTAATTAGTCTATTAATTAAGGGTATTTTTGCTCACTAACTGTTCTGCTAAAATCTATCACCATTTACTAATTATTAGCGATAGTGATGAGTCAGTTGACACAAACAAATTGGGGAATGACGATTTAGAAATCGGACCCAGTGATAAAAAAGGAGCAGAGTGCAAATTATGTGTTACCAATCCAGATAAAAGTAGTAAAGAAGCTGAACCTTTAATCCATTGTTCTAAGTGTTTATCTATATGTAAGTATAATTATTTAAATACATTTATCTATTTTTAAAGGTATTAATAAACTTATAGTAAATGTTAATTATTTACTAAACCATCATACATTTCAAAACAATATTGTTTATAAAATTTTTTAATTTACTTTATTTTAATATACATTTTTTTAGTTTATCAAATTTATTTTAATCTTAGAAAAACATTATACAAAATTTGAGAATGTCATGTTAAATTTGTTGGTTGGCTAATAAAAAATGAGTTTGACTGACATTAAAATATATTTATTTTGTGCCAAACTTTTTAGTATAGCTTTATTTAACTTACACCTTTAAATCTACAAGGAATAAATACATTTGACTACTCATTTTTGTGGTTTTTAGAATTTTAAGTTAAACAATAAAGAAATTTATTGGTAATTGATAAATTAATTAATCTGCATTTTACTTTTTAATTTTGTTAAATACTTATTTGATAATATTTTTCCATTAAATAAATTTAAAAAAGTAATCAGAACTTTTTGTAATCAATAATATTTAAAATTTCAGACCATCCTACTTGTTTAGAAATGTCTTTGGAGATGATACCCCATATTAAGCGATATAACTGGCAATGTAATGATTGTAAATCATGTGCTCAATGCAAAGAAGCTGCCGATGAAGATAAAATGTTGTTTTGTGATCTGTGTGATAGAGGGTAATAAAAATAAACATTAATTATGAATTAAGTTATAAATTTATTTATAAATAAATAAAATAGGTATCACATATATTGTGTTGGACTTCGTAAAGTCCCAGAAGGTAGATGGCATTGTCAAGAATGTGCAATGTGTAGTTCTTGTGGAGCAAATGAACCAGGCCCAGCAGATTCAAAATGGTTCTATGAAGTAAATTATTTTAATATATTTTAATAAATAACATATACAATATTTAGATGATTGTTGATAACTTCTAGTGTGTTTAATTTATGGAAGTATTATTATAAAAATAATCAAAAAATACCAAGTAAATAAATAAGAAATATCTTTACTGTTATACATTTAAAATAATTAATAGTTATAAAAAAAAATTTAGTTAAAATTTGCTTATAAAACCATAATTAATTTATTTTATAAATTATATAGCTCAATGGACTTTTTTGTAGGTAGGCAATGTAAACATTTGCAAATTGTTACTGCAACTTTAATTTAATTAATTTTGGGTTATACACAAATTTATTTATAATAAATAATTTGAAATTAAAATAATTTTAATGTAATTTATTGGTGTAATCTGTTTTTAATTTTTTTTAGTTTAAGAAAGTAGAAAAAAGTGGAATAAAAATGTATAGTCGTACATTGTGTGCTCCTTGTTCAAGGTAAGTTATAACTAGGCAATATTTTAATTTCATTATTTGTTTTATTGTAAATTATGAAAAAAAATGATATTTGCTAACACATATTGTAATGACGTTTTCTCATTATGTATACTTTTATTATATCATTCTGGTATGTTGGTCAGGTTGTGGAAAAAAGGCCATTTCTGCCCTAACTGCATGCGTTGCTATTCTTTGAAAAACATCGAGCGCATGATACAGTGTAACAGCTGCGATAGATACTTACATACAGGTATAACAATGGCTTTACAATGTTTCACTATAATATTTGCTTATTTTTTAATTCCTACCATATAATTGAATCATTTATTTCAAAAATCTGTTCTACAAAATCTCTGATTTTGAGATAACTAAAAAAACTGTCCAAATTATTTAGTACTTTAAAGGGTGATCGGTTTATCATAAACCACTTGCAATATAAATATTAATATTAAATACAATATTGGGAAAAAAATATTTGATTTCTTTTAGTTACATATATCTCATGATTTATTATCTAGTAATAACTTTTTAGAACCATCCCTTATAACTTAAAGGGATGTTAACTTTATTCTTTTAAATGACAACATACATATTAGCTTATAAAATAGAAAATACTATCATTAAGAAAACGACTAGTCGATAACAACGTTCAGACCCGTATTTCGGAAGTTATTAACAATTTAAAGTAATAGCTGGAAGTGAGAAGCATACATGGCAGAAATCTGTTAAATATATTTCTAGACTTTCCTAGCCATACTTTTTCTCTTGCATATGTATAAAAATGTTAATAACTTCTGAAATATTGGTCTGAAAATTGTTGTCGACTAATTAATATCTTAATTAGATCATTATCTAATACATATCTTATTAATAAAATATATTTCCATTTAAAAAAATAAAGTTGATGTCCCATAAGTTATGAGAAATGATTCTTAAAAGTAATTATTGGCTAATAAATCAATCACCCTGTAAAGAACTATCTTATATAGTTAATATATTTTGGAATATTACATATAAAATCATATTTTTTTATTTGTTAATTACACTTTAGTGTATAAAAATATAACTTTTGTACTTGATGTGTTTCTGTAAAAATTGCTATTATTACCCTATTTTATTATAATTTGGAAGTTTAATAACTTATTTATATTAAATATTAACATTATTAATGTTAAGAAAAATTTTTAAAATTAATGTATTGTGTATTTTATTAAATATTCAGATAATTTCATTGACCTTCAATGTTTAAAATTTTATTATCTTTTATTTATTAGTGACTTATTTAAAAAGAAGTCTTTGTAGTGTGGTCCTAATTGAACATAATATCATGGTACTGTTTCATTAAACTAACCCCTAACAGTACTGTGCATAGTGCAAAAGTGTAATTCCCCATTACCTAAAGTTCTAGGTTATCTAGAACCCATACTAAATATACCATTTCTTTATATATTAAAATATCATCTTACAACTAAGTTTATAATAATTAATAATTACATAATTTTTTTCTATCCTTTTTAAATTTTATAAAAAAAATTAGGCTTTTTAACCTGGGACCTCCCTCTAATAATTCAACACTGTGTAAAGTAGCCAACAATCCTAAATCTGATAAAATTTCCTGCAATTTAATGTAGAAATCCATAAAGCAACATTCACTTAACATGTTTCTGCATTAAAAAAAAACATTATTCTATCTTAAATTAATCAACTATAGAACACCAATATTTTACTACTATTCTACACTAATCAATGTAATTACATTTAAAAAAATTAAACCAAACTATTGAATTTTTGGCATTTTATAGGTTTCTAAAATATTAGTTTCAGTAAAGTCAAAATTAAATTGAGTAAAAATAATTTGTAGATGATTACATAGTGCTTGAAATTGATTATATATTCTGATAGATCTGTAATTTATATACTTTCATGATTAATTAAAGATAATTTATTTTTCTTTATTATAAAGTTATGTATTTTTTCTTCATAATATATTGAAATAGTACAATGAAATTACTAAACTTATGATACTCATTTAAGATAACTAAGTATTGTGGAAAGATTAATAAGTTTTAAGTCAAACAAAAATCTATTTTAACTAAAACATGTTTTACATAATTTATACTGTTTAACGCATTTATTTTAACAAATATTTTTTCAAGTGTTAGTTGTGTTTTACATTTTTAGTGAATTTTATATTTTTAAAACATTTTTTAATTATTTTATTAACTAAAATAATAATTATTTCAATAGTAACCTTATACTAAAGTATACCAATTGTATTTTTTCACTACTTAATGCATATAAATTTTGATATTATTTTTTCTAGATTGCATCGATACAAATGATTTAAATGGCCAAGATATAAATTGTACCACATGTGAAAAAAAAGCTGTTTCTAGACTACTTACTACTGTTCCTAGGTCCTTAATTAAAGTTTGAGTAACTTTTAGATTCCACATTTTAGGTTTTTTATAATGCAACCATAATTATATTTGAATTAACGTTTGTTTTTTATGCTATTATATTTTATAGTTTCATTTTTTAATTCATCATGTTTAGATAACAAATGAATGATTAAATATAATTATCAAAATAGAGTTTAGTATTATAATAATCATGCTATTAAAGACGTCGAATGAATAACATAATCTTTTTTTATTTCTTAATTATTCTAATTACAATGACTAATCAAATAACTTGAATCAAGTTATTTAATATTACTTAAGTTAGGATTGTATTTTGTATTTAATTATATTATTGGATTATTAGAGTAATTATTAAAGTAAAACAATTTTTTCTTAAGTAATTTTTGATTATAGGAGGAACTAACATTGTTATTTTGTTATTACTTAAATTAAAATAAAAGTATTACTTAAAATATTTTAGTAGTTAGTATTTGTATGAGTTAATAATTAATGCTCACCTTAGTTTTTTTATATTGATTTTTTTGTGTAATTAATGTTATTGAGTATATTAGGATAAACATAAACATAAATTTAATTTTTAACAATTTTTTTTTGTATTAAAATTTATTGATCATTTATTTTATTGAATTTGTATAAAAGATCAAATTATATAATGTATTTTAAATATAATTGCCGTTAATATGTTTTATTATTTTACAAAATTATAGTTTAAGAAAATACACATTATTGATCAACTATAATGAGTTCATCAATTCCCCAATCTTCATAACTGTTGTCTGGTAAATATCTCCTAATAATAATTGGAATTTTACGTTTTTTTAATTCTTTCATAGCTATTTGTAATGGATCAGTTTCTCCTTCAAGTTCAACCATAACAGGTGCACACATGGCTATTTGTAGGGCTCTAGTTCCTAAAACTCGTGCTCTTTCATATCTTTTAATAAAATCAAAATATATATCATTTTACCATGAAAAAATTTCAAAAATATATTTTAAACTCACTTTGTCATATACTTTGTTGTTATACGTTTAGACTTCTGAACTTGACTTTGAGCTTCTTGGACAGGTAAAATATCAATATTGTCTTCATTTTCCTAAAAAGAAAAAAAATGTTTAATGTTAATAGAAAAATATTTAAATTTAAAAATTAATTAAATATGCACTGTACTTCAGGCTGGTCTAACTCGTCCAAATCAGGGTCATCATCAACATCATCAAAATCATCAGCACCACCACTAAACGAAATATAAACTAAATAAATTAACTAATTTAAATAATACTTAATTTAAGAGTAATCAATGCAAAACAAAACATCTTATTTCAAAGTTAAAAAACTATGAATATTTGGAGTATGATTTCTACAAACTTTTAAAATTTTTTTTTTTTAAGGAGAGAATTTCATTTAGCCTACCCGAAAATTTATTCATAAAAAATATATAATAAGAATGAACATATTATAATCTCCTTAACTTCTATCGCATCTCTATAACATCAGCTCTACCAAAGTGATTTAACAGGATTTTTATATCATGGGCCATTTATACAAAATACAAGTCGAATTTGATGATAGATAAAGTTGTAAATTTCATTTATTTGTTAAATTTATGTTTCATAAAATATACAAGTTGACCAATGACAAGTTTAAAAAAACCTGGAAACTATTGTTAAAAAAATTATTTTTCGTTTCATAAATAACAATAACTTGTAAAATATATTAAAAGTTTGACTATTCCCCAGCAGTATAATTTTTTTAAATAACAATTGTTAATAATATAGTTTTATATTTATTCTTAAACATTTTGAAATTATTTTTTAGTTTAGAAAGTGATGGCGAAAATATTATACTATTATTTGTCAAAGAAAAATATTCTGTCCAAAAATTAATAATAATTTTATGGCTGAATATGAATACAACAAAACATTTCAGAATGAACTTAATGAAGTTGGAGTATATTATCAGTCATATAGGACATCTTGTAGTTCATTATGATCACACATATAGGAACAAACAGCACAGTAGAACATCACCAATTAGACTACATCTGGATGATCTACTACACTATGTAACTAATACAAATGAAGTATTGTAAAAGATTATAGAAACTCCATCATTGCTAATTTTTCAATAACCAGTTTAAAAATTGAAGAATTAGAATTCCTGAAGTGAATAGTTTTAAATTATAATTTTATTATATAAATTATATATTTATAATAAATTAAATTTTTGAAACTAACTTACTCGTCGTGTTCAAATTCTTCGTCCGCCATAACTTACAGAACAAATTAATATTTTATAAATATATTTTATGAAATATAGTGGTCAATATCCTAATTAGTTTTTAAAAATAAATGTAACACGCAAATGATTTTATCATATGAAAACTTACTTTCGAAATTCACAACGAACGAAAATTTACAAGAATAAACTATAAAATAAATAATGATCTATGTAGTTATACTTATCATGATCTTAGAGACAGAGACGCGAGTTGTTAAAAAAATGATAAAAGTTTGGCAAATTAATTTTGCTGATACATAGTGCTACCAACTTAATAAAATAACGAATTGTTTTAAAACAGAGCTATATATTTTTATACCGACTGCCTAAAAATAGTTACAATGCATACTTGATATTATACCTGTATATATGATATTAGATTATTTGCTTTTATCTTATTTGCAAAGCTGTCATTACATAGTAAGAAACAAATTTTGTTGTTATATTCCTATATAAGTGTCGCTAAAAAAATGGGGAGTCATAAAAAAATATCTGGTAAGGTACAAATATATAAAAATAATTTTCATACACTTTCTTAGTTTCGATAAAAAACTGAGAAGGTATTAGTTTTACTATGATGTGTTTTTTGCTTGTGTCTATCCATATCTGTACCTACTGGACATTAATTTTCAATGATACGGCAAAAGATCAAAAAATATATCTTGTTGATGTATTCAGCATTATATTTTAATAATTTCTCTTTAAATCTGACACAAAAACGTGTTTTTCTCAGTCGCACACTATGTTATCAAACTAGATCTAACACTAAGTAACTGATGTTTTGAGCTTTTTATTTCAACACATATGAAATGTTCACATACATAAAGTGCTTGATCATCGAATATATAAATCTCTTACATTAATTATAAAATTAATTTTAAACTACATACAATAAAAAAAAGTAAATCATTTTTTTAAAAAAAGGTGGTTAAATTTGAGTGATATGAGATATAATCTATATTTAATATAATACGAAATGCTTAGAATTCATGAAGTATAAGTGACATTTCAAAAAAAAAAAATTATTTAGGTACACCATCAGACTGAAAATTAATGGTTCTTATTAGTAGAAAAAATTTGTAAATAAAAAACAAATTATTGTAAAATCAAAATACCACTTCAGCTACACATGAAAATTAAAAAATAAATACAATATACATTATTTTGGTAGAATGTTTCCAATTTTCAAACTAACATTTTACTTGACATACCTCAAACAAGTAACGAGGAGAATTTAATAAATGAGTGAGTAATTTTTTCACGAAGAAAAATTTTTAAAGAAGGGCAAGGTTAAAATATAATTTATTAGAAACAAACATTTTTTTTTTCTTTAGAAAAATTGGAGATTATAGTTTTTATGATTTTTTACCATTGTCACCCAGTGCACAAACTCTTGATTCTTGTAAAAAAATTTCTTCAGAAGTTAACCAATTATTCAAAAAGAGTTAGTTTATTTTTTATAGTATTATTTTACAATGAAATTAATACACATATTTAACTAATTTAGGTATAATTAATATTAATAAAGTCGTAGAATAATAAATATTAAATATTTTTTTAATAGTTTGAAATCAATTAAACACGAGTTATTTGCCTGTAATTTTTCAAATCTTGTATTTAAAACTGAAGTTCAAAGGGATATTTTTCAAAATTTCACTTTGAATGTAATTTTTGCAAAAAAAAAGAAATTATTTATTCAGAGGATTCCAAATTAAATGATTTTCTTAGTATAAATACTGCAGTTGTTACTGCTACTTTGAATACTAGTCAGGGGTTTACAAATTAAAACAGATTTCTGCTGTACTAAATATGCCTTGTATGAGTAATAAGACGTATCAAAAATATCATGATTATATTGCTAAGCAAACTGAAAAAACTGCATGGGATTCGATAGTTAGCGGGGAAAGNCTGCATGGGATTTGATAGAGTTAGCGGGGAAAGAAGAAACTAGGTTTGCTATTGAAAATGGCTAAGTGGATGATAAAGGACTTCCCATAAGAACAGGCTTATAAAACTTAAATATTTTAGTGTGTAAATAATGTAATTTTGTAAATTTAATTCTTATAATTAAAATTAGTTTTTTTATAGTTTTATAACTTCAAAATAATCGATGTGGATCTCATATGATTTAACTTGTTTTCTGTAAATATTTAGTTTTTCTTAATCGTCGAAAATAAATAGTTTAATTATTTTTATAATCAATTAAAATTTGTGAAATCATGACACGTCTATTAGTATTTACAGTGAGGCTGGTGCCAAACTATAGTTTTTATATTACATAAAATAAACGTGTGTCGTTATCAATATAATCGTATTGCATCAAAAAGTAAGGCAGGTACACAACCGATTTTGTTGTCGACTATATCACGACGAAAATACTCCCAATAATGGACACTCACACTAATTATCATTTATTTCTCACACAACGACACTGCGTAACATGTAAAAACTGCAAATTTGCCTATATTCGACCCCTGAAAAAAGGTCGGTACCCAGACGCCTTAAACAGGTGTAAAATTAAATAAAGTAAGTTAATAACAATATATATACTTATATAATCACCTTGTTGTATTTTTAAAATATTTTTGTAATCTAAATTCTTTTTTGTTAATTCATTATTGGCGAGTTTATGCTGCGGAAAAAAATTGTTTTAATATGATTTAATACAAAAATATAGGTTAATAAAACATGATTTTAGAACTAATTTAAAAACTAATACATTCTATATATATTTTTTAAATTATAGTAAATGTTAATAAAAAAAATTATTATTGTATGAAAATAATATAATATGTATTAATCAGAAGTTAAGTTATTTTTACTTAAAATATATTTACTTTTAGAACTGTTTTTTTCAATTTTTTAACTTTTTTTGATTCTTGATTAATTATTTCATTAAATTTATCTAATTTAGCAATTAGAAAACGCTTCATTAATGCTTTTTCACTTTTCAGCTAAAATAAATCAACTAATAATTAAAAAATTGGATTTAAATAAGTGATACGGTCACATTTTGTGCACAAATCTTGGTTCAGTTAATAACATTTAACAGCTTGGTCAGCATTTATGCTTATTACAGATAGATATACAGGAACCCGCTGTCAATGTTAATATACACATTTTTACAGAAAACTGTTTGTGAAAATGTAGTGCAACAAGCAGTTGAGACCTACCATATGAATGTTTAACATCTAATTAATATTATTTGAACTTATTATTATTATTTAATTGTGATTTAAAAAATTATAATTCTCATAATGTTTATAGCACATTGTCATCTCCCTGATGTACATTTTCAACATATCTTGAATCCATAGATTATTATTTTATTTTATTTTATTATTAATAAACCTTATTATTTGATTCCATTATACTTTAATTAGTTTTTTCTAATGGGATATTAACTAATTAAAATGTTGGGTTACTGTTAACAGGCATATGAGATATGTACCCAAATAGGGTCGTATTATAAGTAAAAAGTAAAAATAAATATATAATTGTTGTATTAATTTAAAGAAATTAATTTTAAAAAAAAGATCATCCACAGAATTAAAACTTACAATATTGTCAACATAAGATTGACTTTTACTAGATTCATATTCTTCACCATATACTTCATTATTTCGCCTGAAAAATAAATACAATTAATTTAAACACCTTACTTTATAAAAATTAAACACAAAAAGCAGAGTAATTTTAAAAAAATAGGGTATATATGAATGAAATATTTTAAGCATAATTCTGAATTTTGCAAAAAAGCATTTTACCATGAATGCAAGTTTTTTTTAATATTTTTTGTGAGCAAAGCATAGTTTAAAAGTTAAAATTTAAAAAAGAATAATTTTTTTCATTTTTTAACAATATTAAATGTAAAATCTATATTTAAAGTTTTATAAACAAATATTGTTCATACTCTTTGTGATTATCATATTAAGCGATTAGAAAGTTTATAATAAAAATAACTGACATATATTAAAAGAATGAAATAAAATAATATTTATCAGATAATTTTGATTAAGATATAGTGTTTATATTAATTTATTTGATCGCATTTAATAAAATAAACGATATATTTGATTATATTAGTGTTTGTTTATCCATATTCTACAAATTACTTAGACATATGATGTCTTAAGAATAATCTTACTTCAATTTTTTATCTGTATTTGTTTGTAAAACAAATTTGTACAGATATTTATAACTTCCACTCCCATCTGCAAAGGAAATAACATCTCCATGATTTAAAACTTGATAATCATTTTGGTTATTAGGAATTTGCACACAATTTACATAAGTTTCATTGCCTGTTCCCTGTAGTACAGATATTGTTGATCAACTTAGAATTAATTATTCTCTTTGATAGCTAAATTAATATAAACATGCAATAAAAATTTTAAGTCTTACATTGTGAGAAATAAGATATTGGCCATTGGATTTATTTATAAAACAATGTCGTCGTGAAATAGATTTTTCTTCAATTACAAGTGAACAGGCAAGAGAATGTCCAATAACAAACTGAAGAGTTATAATATATCAATTTAACCATTTTAAAGAAAAATAAAGTATATTGTAAAATATAAAACAAAGTTAAGGTGGCTTAAAGTTAATATAGATATTATTTTCATATAAAAATATATGTATTTTTAATAAGTTCATCTTAACACTTAAATTGAGTTTATTTCCTAAAGAAAAAATCTACCTCAGTCTCTCCAATAGGATAGTTAATGCCACTAGCCAAGCACTGTAATGTTGCATTACCAGTTGTCAGAATAACTGTTACTTCTTTTTAAGCTCATTGTATTTTTTATCTCTTTTAAGATTTATGGTGTTCAGTTTCAAATCTATCATATAAATACACTTTAAAGTATACTTAAAAGTAATGAAATTATTTGTTTTGAATTAAAAACATTCGAAACTATGGTAGCACATGTTAATTACGTACTGTTAATACAAAATAGAACAATTTTATAAAAGCTTATAGAAAATAATAATATTAAACAAATAAATAACTGGAGTCAATTTTAGCTTCGATGCGAAGCTGAGAAGGTATTAATTTTACTATTATGTATTTTTTTTTTGTGTCTGTTACCAATTTTTCTCAGCTCTCACTGAACCGATTTCTTTCAATGATACGTCAAAAGATCACAAATCGTATCCAGTATATTCCGTGCTATTTTTATAATTTTACAACAGCGAGAAACTAATTTACCAAAATAACTACATTAATTCTAGTAGATGGAAAATTAAATTCGCAGAAAGGAATTATATCTAAAACAAAATCAAAAGTTTTGCCGGCCGTAGCGCCCCTTCAAGTTGTGGTACCCCTAGCCTATAGCCTAGTCCTAAATCCAGCCCTGCTTATATTAGTTTCACATGTATGTTTGTTGTAAGTTTGTAACTCCACGCGCCACGTGTTATTATGTCGCGAATCCCGTCATCTATGGCCTTGAGACTAGACTGTCGTAACGCATTCACCCCACCCCGGTCACCCACTCACCAAACAACACTATTTTCCTGTATAATTTTTGGTTTTCGTACCCGGACACTTCGACGCCGCCGTTTCGCCGCTGACCGTTTCAAATTAAATTAATTATTATAATAAAATGTTATCATAATTATAATATTCATTGTTATTCTTTCATTTTAACAATTAATACTATTGAAATATAGTATGCTCTTATTTATATGTATAGATAACCATGTGATATAATTTTTAATTATTTATGTGTATACTTAGCACCGTATCATAAGTTAGCAAACCCAGTTATTGCAAATTTTGTATATTTTTAATGAATAAGGTATAAAGTACTCAAAAATATTGTATCCTCTTGGTTAGCTATTTTAATAATTTTAGAAATTAAACAATTAAAACAACTTAAGTCAATATATTAAAGTTGTTATTTTAAACATTTTCAATTTTTAAATAAATTATTCAAACAATTTAAATGATACATATACGTATCAAATCGAATGAATGCGATTATAGCAAGATATTTTATTATTTATTTTGTATAAGATATTTTGTTTACACAAATAAATCAAAGTTTTAAAACGGTTAGTTAAGACATTTGTTTTAAGAATATAACATATTAATTTCTTTAATTTATTCTTATAATAGTTCTATTCGTATATTTTGAGACGAACTTTATTAGACACTCAGTAGTATCTAGAACATTATAAAATATACTTTTGCTAATTCAGCTACATCTATTTTAATTTTTATATTAAATAAATAAATGAATTGGTAGTTCCTCTAAGGGAATATAAATTAAATAGGAAACTTCAGTACCTAAGGTAGATATAGCCTAGCCAGCTATCCCCCGTTGGTCCCTTAGAATACTGTCGACGGGCATTTAGGCTAAACCCCTAAATAGCGACGTAACATGTTCATGGTTTAATTTTGCATCAGTCAAAATATGGCACAAAGCACCCACGCTTTTATTACAATAATACTAGTATTTTTCGTTCATTATTGTTTTAAGCTTATTTTAAAAATTATTTTTAACTTTTTAGTTCAATGTGCTTTAAAAGCGTGTTTTTTTAGTTTTTTTAAACTATATTTATTTTTTATATTATACAATCTGTCGTTAACATTAATAAGTAATATGTAATAATTAAGTGATAACTTAACAGAACTTTCTAAAATTTAACACACATTCCAAAATAGATTTACAAGTTGATTTTGGTCTATTTTTGTTATGATCAAAATATTCAGTTTTCGTGGAAATGTTCTTACAAATTCGCATATTTTACATTAAAAAGGCTGGCTTTGAATTTAATTACAATTACCGTAGATTTACTGAACTAGAGATAATAAATCGCATTAAATTTTGAAAACAAACACCTAATTATTAAGGTAATTTGCCATAAAACGAAAGAAAAAAAAATGTAAAATTAAAGTACTTTTTTATATTTATTGTAAGATCTGTATTTGTCAAATTTTTCCATAGATGATCTAGTCCCGTAAATACAATAAATACTTTTTTTTGTAATTATATGGTATTCTGAATTAAAAAAATAAAATATTCATATTTAATTAAGTAAATATGAATTATTTTTTATAAAGTTTTAAATTATTTATCTTACATACCCAAAGAAAAACCTCAATCAATTTTGATAGAGAAATTTTATCAAGGGTTTATGATAATGTTTTATTAATACGAACAAAATAATTATTCTTATGAATAATTATTGTTCAAGATAAGAAAAAAAATTATCATATTGATAAATATATCATAGATTCAATAATAATGATATATTTATCAAATTGAACAATGAATTTATTATATAGATCGAGGTTTTTCTCTGGGTGTAACAGAAAAATATTTTATAATTCAAAATAACATAGAAAATTTTCTATTTTATGTTTTCTTTAAATAATTCATTGACACATATAATTTGTGTTATACATTTTTCAGTTAGTTTTAAACTTCTAATTTGCTGTGTATTTTTCATTTTTTAATATAAAACGATCTTATGAAAAATTCCTATTAAAAGTATCTTAATTTTGATAATTATCTTTTACTCGATGATTAATTTTTTTTTATATCAATGAAATTATCATAAAAAATGAATGTTTATTAAATAGTTACACATAATAGATAACAATAAACATATTCATATTTATGAAAAGACATTTGACACATTTGTACTTGAAAGAGGGCTTGTTGACTATATAATTTTGGAAAAAAATTAATTTTATTGATTGTTGATCTTTTTTTGCTTATTAAATTTTAATTATAGTAAACTATACATTTTTCTAAGCCCATAATTTGAAAATTTAAGGCTTTACTAGTGGAAATCACCACTAGACTTTAGGTTAAACTATTGTCTAGGTATGACAGATAGATGTAAAGTAATAATAGGTACGTGGAATATTGGAACATTAACTGGTAGGTAGAAAATTAGTAGAAGTATTGATGAGGAGGAAAGTTAATATTTGTTATATATATCCACTAAGTGGAAAGGGGAAAAAGCAAAAGAATAGGTATGGGGTATAAAATAATATACATAGGTAAGACAAATATAAAGATAAAATTAATTTTTCAGAATAGAGCTTTGAATGTTGTAAGGATAAGGTAAGTAAAATGTAACTTAAGGGTGGAAGTAATAGAACACAGATTGATTATTTTATATGGAGAGAAAGAGAATGTAAAGTTAGTAAAAGGTTGTTAAATTATTCTTGGCAAGTGATAGCACAATATAGATTAATGATAACGGAGTTTTGTTATTGTAGGAAGACCGTTTGCAAAAATAAAGCAGAGAATAATTGTATCAAAGGTGAGAACGTTTCGTTGAATGAGTTGAGTTACGAGAGAAAATAGGATAAGGAATGAGTATGTAAGAAGAAATATAAAAGTAGCACCGATCACGAATGATATAAGAAAAAATAGGTTTAGATGTTAAATAATGACAATTAAAGGAGAAAAGAAAGATAATTATTTAAAATGAGGTGCTTGGATGTATAAGAAGTAATAAGAGAACTGCTGGTGTGTGTATAGATGATGTGGGAGATTGTGTCAAATGGAGGTTTAGGATATGAGTGGCCGATCCTAAGTAGTTTGAACAGAAGAGAAGAAGAAAAAGAAGGACTGGGCTAAGCCATCAATTTTTAATCTTTGTTAGTTTTCAATATTTATACAACTTGTTTCACTATAAATTAAGACTTTAATAATTCACTTTTTAAATTAACTCATTGTATATAACGTTTAAAAAATAACAGTATTAAGACATCAATTAAATGTTTAATCTTTTTTAATAAGCTTTTAGCTCTGTAGTACGATTCGTTCTCTATTACTTTTATTGTTAATGGTTGTATAGGTGTTTCGCTAATAACATATTTTATTATCCGTTCATCTCTTAATTGTAATTGATCAATCAATATTGTGTCTATGTCTTTGGGAGTTAAAATATACTCAATATTTCGATTGAAATATGGATGATCCTTTTGAGTTTCTTTAAATTTTGAAAATTCTATGAAATTGTAAAAAATCCATTCTCTGCCAGCTAGTGATGACGGTGGATTAAAGAAATTTGTATCTGTTATAAAACTATATGCATGTATACAAATAAACAAACCACAATCATACATATTATCTTGTTGCATTGCATCACAAGCATATACCATTTCCCATTCATCTATATTAATTTTCAAATTTTTTTTATGGTAGAAATTTGTCGAATCGTAACATATAGTTGTTAAAACAATTAGATTATTAAAATGATCATCTATATTAAGTGTCTTACCATATAATGAGTCTAAAATAATTATTTTTTTGTATTTTAAGTGAATGATACCTAACACCCAATGAATACCTTCTAATGGGGCAGTATTAATAGTTATTAATATAAAATCTTTTTCTGTTACATTTGAATCTAAAATAAGCTGAAAAATATTAGTATAGTCTTCATCAGCACAATAATATTGATATACACTAGATGGAATATGCACAACAGAATTTTCTTTTTTATTATTTATGATAAAATAATCAATTACATCATCTATGATGTATGAATTTATCCACTGACCAGGCAATAAATCTTTTTCGTCATCTGAACATGTTAAAGGGTTCAAATGAAGTCTAGGTAATTCATTACTTTCACTATTCGTCATTATTTCAGGCGTGCCTAAGAAATAGGAAATCAATTTTTAGAATAGTAATATGTATAATTGAGCAGAGTTATTTAATTTTAAACATTTTTTAATAAATCAAACAATACATTATTTATTTTTGGTATTTAAATAAGAAACTTTATAGAGATTTAATGGATCAAATTTTATAAATTTTGATTCATACTTTCATTAATGGAAAATTTGTTTTGGTTTTATCTGAACAATGCGAAGTATTTAGTAGTATGTATCGATTTTCCGTTGAAAATATCTCAATAAAAATTTAAATAATTGAAGACCTTATGTAAAAATATATTAACTTTATCTATTACAAAAATAATTCCAAAACATATTTTCTCTCGGTAATTAAAATAACCAAACACTATTAATATTTTATTAACAGTATTTATTAGATATATAGATTGTACCACCGTGATTTACTAATTTTAATATTAGTTTATATAGTCAAATTAGTAAAACACAGTAATTTTGGTTAATTATTATTCTTCAATATTATAATCGTAATTGTGTAAGTAATATATTATAGAAAATATAGGAACTCATTCCTAAAATATTTATAACAAATCAATTATATAAAAATCATTCATTGATTATTGATTCATAGATTTTATGTCATGCTGCAGTAAAGAAAAAAACACAAATGAGAATACTCGAATCCTTTTAATTGATTACTGGTTAATTTAGTATTATTAGTATAAAACTATTTTTAGTTTTAAAATAAATTTACATTTTTTTCATCAATATTTATAATTTTACTTAATTTGAAAAATTAATCATAGAAAGTAAGAAAAAGCAATTCAAAGTATGACAGGAGAGCAAAAAGAGAGAAGATTGGATGGAGTATAAACGCTTGTGCAAAAAAACCAAGTGTGCAGTAAGTAAGGCGAAGTTAAAGAGGTATGAGTTGTATGATAAGCTAGTAACAAAGGAAGGCAAGAAAGAAATCTATAGACTTGCAAAGGTAAGAGAGAAAAGGGCTAAAGATTATTATTATATAAGGTGTATAAAAAGTGCTGATAATAGGGTACTCTCGAGTAATAATGATGATATGAAAAAAAGATGGAAAGAGTATTTTGAAAAATTACTGAATGAGGAGTATCCAAAAGAGACGATAAAGGATATCATGTGGAATAAAGGACTGGTAGATTTAATTAATGAGAAAGAGATATCGGAGGCTGTGACACCAATAAAAAAGAATAAAGCAGTGGGACCAGATGAAGTGCCAGTAGAAATACAAAAAATATTAGGCGATGTTGACATAAGGTGGTTGAAGGAACTTTTAAATAAAATCTTATTAGAAGGGAAAATTCCAAAGAAATGGAGGAATAGTATTGTAGTGCCGATATTTAAAGGTAAAGGTCACAAACAGTAGTGTGGATATTATAGAGGCATAAAGCTTATGAGTCATAGTGTTAAAATTTGGAAAAAGGTAATAGATAAGAGAATAAGAATGAAACATCGGTTTCTAAAAACCAGTTTGGATTTATGCCTGGTAAGTCAACAATTGAGCCATTATTTTGTGTGAGGCAACTAATAGAAAAGTTTAGGGAAAAAAAGAAAAAGCTTTGTATGGTATTTATAGATTTGGAGAAAGCATATGATAGAGTACCGAGAGATATTCTAAAGTGGACATTAATGAGAATAGGAGTCCCGAAAAGGTACATTAATATAATAGAGGATATGTATGATGGCACTTGTACTAGGGTAAAAAGCGTAGGAGGAGTAACAAAAGGTTTTCGGGTAAGAGTAGGAGTGCATCAGGGTTCTGTTTTAAGCCTTTACTTATTTTCTATAGTGATAGATGAAATTACTAAAGAAATAAGAAGGAAAGGTGCCGTGGTGCATGTTGTTTACTGACGATATAGTGTTAATAGGAGAAAATAGGGAGGAAATTAATCAAAGACGTGTGGAGATCAGCTCTTGAAGAAAAGGGTTTAAGAATAAGTAAGAGTAAGACAGAGTATATAGAGTACGAGTTTGATAAAGGTGAACACGAGGTAGGTGAAATAAAAAGACCAGTGACAATAGGCGAGGACGTGATTGGAGAGTTGGAGAGTTTTTGTGCAAAAGAGTGATGGTATTGAAAGGGTGTANAAGTATTTAGGATCAGTTGTGCAAAAGAGTGATGGTATTGAAAGGGTGTAAGATACATGATTAAGTGCTGGTGGTTGATGTGAAGAGAAGCGTCCGGTGTCTTATGCGCTAAAAAATCCCAATGAGGCTGAAAGATAAATTCTACAAGACTGTAGTGAGACCAGATATGATATATGGTTAAGAGTGTTGGGTGGTTGATAAGAAAGTAGAGCAGAGAATGAGTGTAGCAGAGATGAGAATGCTTAGATGGATGAATGGAGTGACTAGAGAAGATAGGATAAGAAATGAGCATATAAAAGGGAGTGTAGGTGTTGCGTTAATCGTGGATAAGATGAGAGAAAATAGACTTAGATGGTTTGATCATGTTATGGGAAGAGAAAAATCGGAAGCCATAAGAACAGTTTCTACAAAATTTCTACAATGAATGTCGAAGGAAGAAGAGGTAGAGGAAGACCAAAAAAGAGATGGAGGGATGTTATTGAATGTGATATGAGGACAGCTGATGTGGCGTAGATGATGTGGGAGATGGTGTCAAGTAGAAGTTTAGGATAAGGGTGGTCGACCCCAAGTAGTTGGGATTAAGGCGAGGAGGAAGAAGAAGACTAATTATGAAAAATTACTTTGTCCTATGATATTTTTGATAGAATCCATGCCTAAAAATAAATAGGATACATAGGTATAAGTTTATAAATCACATGTAAAACTCATCATAACTCCCTCTAAAACATATTGTTTAAAGTACGACACAATTTTTAGATAGCGCTGTGGTTTAATTGATTGGCAAATATCATGTAGTCTGAGTTTATTAAATTGATTATGCATTATTTAACACTTATCAAAAAACAAAAAAATAACTTTAAACCCTACACATTTTTTGATATTTACTTATAAGTTAATAAGTAAACATCAAAAAATGTTCTATGGTTGGTAGTGGTAATTACTTAACAATATAGTAGTAAGTAATTTTAGTACAATTGAGATAAAATAATTGACAGACACTCATATTTTTAGACTAAGTGTTAATAAAACATTGCTTATTAAAATTAAAATTGTACTGTATTTGCTATCATATTATAAATTAATAATTATAAGGCTATATATGCAAAATGTCATTTGCAAACATTTTTTAATTTATTCGTATAATAAAGAAAATTCTATATCTGTCGCTGTTTAAAGTTATAGTATTTCGAATTAAGTTTTTGACAAGTTATGTTTGCAAATTTTGTACTTTATACGTCATTAAATAAACATTGAAAGGCCAATTTAAAATCTTTGAAAATACAACACTAAGTTGAACTTTGTAGTTAGTTATTAATTTTTACAATTTCCTAATTTTGAATTCGATTTTTATTTGAAAATCTACTTACGTTAATGGGTGTTCATGAGTCAAATGTCGTTAGTATATTTATTATAAATTTAATTCAAAACTTTTCTCGTCCTAGGAGGATAAATAACATGTCTATGCATACATTTAAAATAAAATGAAATTTTATAAATTGATAATATAAGATAATTTGAATTTTGTATTGAATGTTTCTAAATTATATATAAATTACCATATATAAATAATGGAGTGAAAACCATAAATGTAATTGATAAAATGAGCGCCTTCTGAAAATCAATAAAACAATTTGGCAAAGATTTATTTGGTATTTTGTGAGGATTTAATATTTTAAATAACTTATTATAATAATAAACATATTTATTTTTATAATAGTTATTTAGAATATTAAAAAATATTTTTAGTAAAAAAATTCTTTATAAGTTTTTAAAATTATTAAACCTTCTTTGAACAACTTTATATATTGAAAAATGATGAATCTAAGCTACCTACCATCTTATTTTAACTTTAATAACTATATAGAAAAAAATAACGAAAGTAGTAGAATGATTAAAAAAACTTAGTGTTAAGAAAATGTAAATTAATCGAAAAATTAAAGCAAAACGTATTAGTTGTAGTTTAAAGTAAATTTACACATGAACACACATTTTTATCTACTTTTTATTTGTTTTAATACCAGAAAACAATTCGTTAGAAAAATGTTAACCAGAACATCTAAATGGAGGGATTCCTACCATTGCCAACACACAAAAAAAATAAATATAGTTTAAAAAAACTAAAAAAACACGCTTTTAAAGCACATTGAACTAAAAAGTTAAAAATAATTTTTAAAATAAGCTTAAAACAATAATGAACGAAAAATACTAGTATTATTGT